TTCGAGACCAGCCTGGTCAACATGACAAACCCTATCTCTACTAAAAATACAAAAATTAGCTGGGCATGGTGGCACATGCCTGTAATCCCAACTACTTGGGAGGCTGAGGTGGGAAAATTGCTTGGACCTGGGAGGCAGAGGTTGCAGTGAGCTGAAATCCACCACTGGCACTCCAGCCTGGGTGACAGAGGAAGACTCCATCTCAAGAAAAAAAAAAAAAAAAGACATGAATGCGAATTATTTAAAAAAAAAAAAAAAATGAAATTAAGAACTCAGTAGATGGGTTTAGCAGCAAAAGTAATAAATGAATTCCAAGACAGATCAATAGAAAATATCTAGTCTGAAACACAAGGAAAAAAGCATGAGAGACACAGAATAGGAGATATATAGAGCACTATGAAAAGTTCTAACATTCAGATTACTGAAGTCTCAGAGCAGATAGAGAAAAAATGGGACAGAAACAATATTTGAAGATATAATGTCTGAGAAATTTCCAAAATTGATCAGACGTCAACCCAGAAATTCAAGAAGCTAAATGCCAAGCAGGAAAAGAAAAAGAAACCCACACTAAGTACACCATAGTAAAACTACTGAAAACCAAAAAGAAAAAAAGTCTTTAAAGCAGCCAGGTGGGGGCAAAGTTACCTTCAAAAGAACAACAAAGGACCAGATAGCGACTTTTCAACAGAAATGGTATAAGCCAGAAAACAAAGAAATCTTTAAAGTCCTTAAACAAAGACTCCTGGATGCACTCGATAGAAGACAGAATTAGTGAACTTTGTACAAAACATGTATAAAATTCTCCCCAAATATAGCATAGATATAAAAATATGAAAGATTTAAGAGATAATATCATGATATGATCCAACTTACAATTAATCAGAGTTACAGAAGAAACAGACAATGCTGAAAGAGAAAATCATTTAATTTTCCAAAATTGATTAAAGATACCATTGTACAAATTCAAGAAGGCAAAAAAGTCTCAAACAAGAAAAGGAAAACCTAGTGTGCCAGTCACGTTTCCGTTCTCAGCTGCAAACTCATCCTTGTAGTCTCTACTGTTCTACTGTAGCTGCCACTCTGTAAACTACATTTCCCAGATTCCCTCCCTTATCAGCTGGCTTCCTGTTAGGGTCTACCCATGGAAGCCACTAGAGGGAGATTATATGACAGTAGATAGCAATTGCCTTAGACCCAGTGGTTTTTTGCATGAGACAATTTTATATATTAAGCCCTTGAGATTTGGGGATTATTTATTACTATAGCAAAAGCCCATCCTGTCCTAATAAAATATGCAAAAAATTAAAAGTAGACCTTTACACTTCATACCATATATAAAGATAAAATTAATGACAAAGACTATATAGCTTTCAGAAGAGAACACAGGAAACATCCTCATGATCTTGGGGTTTCTCAAATAAGACATAAAAAACATAAAAAGAAAAAGCTTCATAGATTTGACATAAAAATTAAAAGCTGTTTATCAAAAGACAAAAAATAGTAAAAAGACAAACCACAGAAGATATTTGCAAAATATATAACAAAGAGCTTGTGTACATATTTTAAAATTTCTATGAATCAAAAAGAAGACTTGAAGAAACCTAATAACTAACAACATGAAAAGTTGTTCAACATTATCAACAATGTTAAAATAGACACTATACATGTACTGTCTTAGGTAGAGCTGCTATAATAAAATACCATACATTGAATTAAAAACATTGATTTCTCATGGTTATGGAAACTGAAAAGTCCAAGATCAAGATGCTAGTAGGTTTATTTCTAGTGAGAGCCCCCTGGTTCATAGGCATCTTCTTGCTGTGTGTTCGCATGGCAGAAAGAGGGCTGGAGTTCTCTGGGATCTCTTCATAAGGTCACTAATCCCACTCATGTGGGCTCCAGGCTTATGACCTAATTACCTCCCAAAGGCTCCACATCCTAATATCATCACATTGGGGGTTAAGATTTCAACATATGAATTTGGGCAGAGGGGACACAAACATTTAGTCCGTAATATACCAAGCTAGCTAAAATGCAAAAGTATGAAAATACTAGATATTGGAAAAGGTTAGAGTAATAAGAACTCTCATTTACTCCTGGTGAGAATGTGTATAATGACCTTGGAATACGTTATTTAGCAAAGTTGGAACACCATTAAGACTCCACATTTCCACTCCTACATATATATCCTACAGAAATATGTGTTTATATGTATAGCAGGAATCATGTATAAAAATGTTTATCACAGCATTATTCACAATATACAAAGACTGAAACCAATTCCAATGTTTATCAGCAGCATACTGGCTGTATTATGGTATAGTCCTACAATAAACATTAACAAAACTGTACTATAAAGATTAAAACAAACTACAGCTACACGACATGGATGAATCTTAAAACAATGTTGAACAAAAGAAGTCACATACCCAAGAATATTTACTCTGATTCTATTAGTAGAAGTTCAAAATCAGGGAAAACAGAATAACTACTTATTTAGGGATGTAATCATGGATGGTAAAACTATAAGGACAAGCAAAGGAACGAGTACCACACATCACTAGACAATGGTTATCTCCAAAGTGCTGGGGGCAGTGAAGGAGATGTGATCTAGGAGGGGTTCCCAAGGGGCTCCTGAGGTACTGACTTGAAAACGTTCTCTTCTCTAACTTGGTGTTGACACAGGTGCTCCTGCTCACCTTCATTTTTTTTTAAGTATACATCTATGTATCATGAACAATTCTTATCTCAAAATTTAAAAATAAATTATACATTATAACAGCATTACAATCATGAACACGTGTGCTATGTTCTCTGGGAGACAAAGAGAAATTATTTACCCTACTTTCCAGAAAAGGACACTGACACTTAGAGGAGACACAAGTGTTGAAACCAGGTCTCAAATCCAAGACCCAAGATGTTTTGTTACTAAAGCATTCATGATCCAGACTCTGCCTGCATGGAGGCGATGCACAGGAAGTGATGAACCTGGTAAAAGCTTCCAGTCTTAAAAATACTCCAAGTAAGGCTCTTTAAGGCTTCTCGCAGGGACATTTTATTTTTTGGTTAAAGCCACAATAGATAGAAATGCCATAAAAACAAACATGTAAACAAGGTATCAGAACTTTGGTTCATTGAAACATCTCACACCTAAAACACCTGAGGTACAAAGGCACCTTGCTAGGCGCTAGACAGCTAACTCTGCTGCAGCCACTTTGATCCTGGTCTTGGGGCCAGGGATGGCACAGGCTGAACGGAAGGGCTGGGACTTCAGTCACACAGGACTCGCCCTAGTATGGTCTCCCTCTGCTCCAGACATTCATTTCTCCAAAAACCAGCCTGATAGAAACTGGAACATACAAAGGTGTCTGTCACATTGAACTTGAAGATGACATGGGCTGCAGGACCAGGAAGGGGAAGGACAGAAAAGGATGTCAGTCAACTTCTGTTGATCCACAAGGTCTCAAGAACTCCTGTCCTCGTTCATGGAACCACTTATTGGAGACTGTGAAAAGAAAGCAAGCATGTTACAATCCTATTGGTCAGTTTAGTAGCCTGAATGAATGACTCCTTCATGATGACCCCTGCACTGTGCACTGGAATCAGACACAAATAAGACAAGACATGATCTCAGGCCTCAATTTGCTAATGAATTGGTGAGGAAGACACATGTAAACAGGTAAGTGTATGCAATTCTGCCAGTGGGACAAGATACATGTGTGCAGGTTGCCATGGGAATAGCACCAAAGAGCATCTAATCATGCCCTTTGGCTCTATTCCCATAGCAACGTGCACACATTTCTTGCTCTTAGAGAGAAGAGGAAATCCTAGGGCTAGAATATAAAGTTAAATAGAAGTTATCCTGGGAAGAAGAATGACATACCCAGATGGTTCTCTCACCAAGAGGGTCCCAGGAGTGACAACAGGATGAGAAAGTAATCAAGGCAGGAGCCACCCTGATGCGTGTTGAGGACTCAAGAAGCCTAACACTACTGGGAGGTGGCAGGTGGAAACTGAGAGGTAGGATGTGAGGATGAGGAAGCCTGTCAGCATTGCAGAGGGCTTTGATGTTAACCTCAGGAGCTGTGGACCAGCAGATCTAGTCTGTATGCCATGGGCACAAGAGCAGCAGAGCTGCCGCCAGCACTGTCACCCCATGCCATATCTTCAAAAACACAGGAACCATGATTCTGTTTCTCACAGACTCTCTCATAATGAATCAAAATTTTATTTCAATGCACTACTGAAGTCACAGAGCTTTTAAAATATAAAGTAATACACGTAATTCATTGAAAAAAATAAAATTGTCACAAGGCTTATAATGATAAACAGCAATCTCCGAAGCTTCTCCTTCCCATCCCTAATCCCCACTCCCAGGGAACATTAAACTCCTCTAGCTGTTTCTTCTGATATTTAACTTCATTTTTCTAGGTAACATGCTTTTAGTTCTATTCCATAACTTTCAACTTTGAAATTCTTTTATTCTACCCCTAAAACATATACTTATCCCCTCCCATCTTTCTGGTACAGGTAAATCACAAGTTTTAGTTAAAGTAATACTCAGTGTGTACATAATTATATCATGTAAGTGTTATGCCTGAGCCATCCAGTAGTTTATACTTATCTCTTATACAACTTTTTTTTCCCTGAATTCAGCAACTGCCTTGTTTTCTTTTTCATTTGCTTAATTATCTGCGAACCCATCACTATTTATCTTCAAAACTCTCCAAGGGGGCTACACACTCATCTCCTTAACAAACACTTCCTGTCACATCCTGGTTTAAGCCTCTCCGAGGCTCACACAACTGCTCCCAGGATAAAGCTCAAACTTGAGCCTCTGCAGTTTGGTCCCAGCCTCCAGCCTCATCTCCTGGCCCCTGTGCCACAGGTCTCCCTTTCTTCAAGTGACAAGGGAGCCTGTCCCCACACCCATATGCTAGTTTTAGCCTGTGCCTCCATCCATATGGGTCTTGTTCGCCTGAGACACTCTTTCCCCTCACTGCTTCCAGCTCTCCACTCTGCTCCCCTAGAAGCCTTGCCAGAGGGTCCTGGACCTATGGTGCTTATGCAGCTGTTCGTCCTCAGGCCTTCTTCAGCTCCCTGTGTATCTCCGAGTGTTTCCAACCAGCTGCCTTGGCATTTACCAGGTGCATGGACATGACATGGCTGGATGGTAGTAACAGCAGAAAAAAAGCTAAGAAGGGAGACAATCTCTGCAATTTGGCAGCAGTTATCTCCCAGCTCAGAATCTAAGGCCAGTAAGCAAAGCCCAAGCTGAGGCCACCAACACCAACACCACCCCTTAAGACACTCACCCCACTTGCAGCCCACAAGCACAGGGCAGGCAGCGTGTCTTGTTCGGTAGTCACCTTCCCCGCTCCGCAAGAGGTTGTACCAGAATACAGCTGTACCCTGGGAAAGAGATTGGTCTTTTCAGAACACATTCTTAGAGACTGTCCTCAGGGACCTGACCTCAAGCATCACAGAAGCTCTGCCCTGAGCAGAAACACCCTCATTTCCCTATGGACGGGGGACAGGGCTCTGGGACTCCAGCAACAGAGACTTTTCCCAGAAAGCACCTACCTTTCTGGAGTAGAAGTCTGGGAACTCACCCGCCCCTGAAGTGGCTTCCCTCCCTGTGCCTTCTTCCCAGGGAGAAGCTGGGACTACAAGGTCAGACTCCAGGTGGGCTAAGGCACATCACAATGACAATCAGGCAGGCCAGGTAATGGTACTGGGGGACATGGACAAAGTAAAGTCTGAGCCTTGCTTCAACCTCTGACCCACAAGAATCAGAACTTACCTTCTTAGGCCAAATTGCAGCCCCCAGATCAGGGAAGACGGTGGCACCACCAGCTTCTACATCACTCATCTGGAAATATAACACATAGAGCTTGGTCCTCCTAAGCAAGGCTCTCAGAGCAACTGAGCCACAAAGGACATGACAAAGTGTACAAATCACCCCCCTCTGAGCATCAGTGACACTGCTTGGAGTCTGCTCCATGGCCAGCCCTTTAGCCAAGAAAGGTTTTCCCATGCCTACTTAATCAGTGTGATTCATTAGAACAGTCTCCATGTCATGAGTGTTCAAGAGTTGAGGCCCACAGGAGACCCACATCCGGGCTGTCCTTGGATGAAAATAATCTTAGTCTGTACTTAGAAAATGCCTGTTCTGACCCCCACCCCTTGAATTCCCATCTAGCCTTGGCCTTGCCTAAGCCACTGTACTCAGCAAAGTGCCCTGACCAGGAGCTCCCTACTGTTTCCAACACTATGTGCAGTCCCCATTGCAGCTCTGTTTCTCTGGCTCTAGTAGTTTGCTGCTCTAGTCAGACCTTCACCTTCCCAGAGTAGCCACCCTTCCTGGGGCCACCTGAGTGGGAAGGTGGGGCACTGTGTTTCTAGAGGCCCTGCTTTCTCCCATGGTAAGGCCTTAAACTACACTGAACACAAGTTCCACACTAGCAAGGCTGCACTCATGCCCACAGAGCATGCCTTGACTCATGGCCAAAGCACTACTTCTTTCCCATACGGCTCTCTTACTTTTTTTGTCCATAATGTAATAAAAATTGGAGCTAAAAAATATTTCCACAGGACACATACCAGACTAAGTGAAGGGTACTTGACAGACATATGGTAAATGAATAAGACAAAAAGCTCTGATGGCTTCTCACAGCCCTGGGGATCAAACTCAAATTCTTTTCTAGAACCCCAAGGCCCTGTCAGTCTCACTAGCCTCTCTCCAGACACACCAGCCTTTTTCTATTTTTCCAACATTCCAAGCTCCTTTTCTCTTACAGGACTACATACACTCTCTCTCGTGCCAGAAACCATGTTCTACCAGCTAATTTCCACTCAACTTTTGAGTCTCAACTGATATGTTACTTCCAAAGAGAGGCCTCCATTGAACCCCAAGTCTGGGGTTCACAGCACCTGTCTCCATAACTACATAATACTCTCTCTGATGTTTAGGCTGGGCGAGGTGGCTCACACCTGTAATGCCAGCACTTTGGGAGGCCAAGGTGGGTGGATCACTTGAGGTCAGGAGCTCGAGACCAGTCTGGCCAAGATGCTGAAACTTCGTCTCTACTAAAAATACAAATATTAGCTGGGCATGGTGGTGCACGCCTATAATCCCAGCTACTTGGGAGGCTGAGGCAGGAGAATCACTTGAACCCGGGAGGCAGAGGTTACAGTAAGCTGAGATCGCGCCACTGCACTGCAGCCTGGGCACCAGAGGGAGACTCTGTCCCCCCGCCCAAAAAAGGAAGAAGAAGAAGAAGAATCTCTCTGATGTTTAAAATAAGTCTCTCATATTGGACCTCAAGCACCACAAAAGAGACCACATACGTTCTGCTCACCAGCATGTACATAGCACAATCCCCAGCATGTAATAACCATACAATAAAAACGTAAAAGGAAAAAATGGACCCAGGCTTCTGTCTCTAAGTTACTTTACTGCCTCTATGTCTCTTTAGAGCTGGCTCTCAGCAGAAGGGAGAGGAAATTGTTCCTCATGTGAAAGGTAAACCCTACAACCTATGGATGAAACAGAGACAAGAGGTGGGAATCAGGCCACTAAGCCTTGGATAAAACAAACGTGTCTCTCATCTAGAGAGAGCTAACGCTGTCTCCTCACTCTGGTGCCAAGGAGGGAACCCTCCAGGGCACCCATCCCAAAAATCCAGACTAGCACTGTGCCCATCAAAAAGGAGCCAGAATGGCCAGGCACAGTGGCTCATGCTTGTAATCCCAGCACTTTGGGAGGCCGAGGCAGGCAGATCACCTGAGGTCGGGAGTTCAACACCAGCCTGGCCAACATGGTGAAACCCTCTCTCTACTAAAAATACAAAAATTAGCCAGGCGTGGTGGCCAGTGCCTATAATCCCAGCTGCTTGGGAGGGTGAGGTGCAAGAATCGCTCCAACCTGGGAGGCCGAGGTTGCAGTAAGCCGAGATCACACCACTGCACTCCAGCCTAGGTGACAGAGCAATACTCCATCTCAAAAAAAAAAAAAAAAAAAAGCAGCAGCCAGAATATGCTACAACATGGATAAACCTTGAGGGCATTATACACCAGCCACACAGAAAGACAAGTATTAATACTTTGATTCCACTTATTTAAGTAACCAAAATCACAGAGACAGAAAGCAGAATGGTGGCTGCCAGGAGCTGCAGGAGGGGAATCTGGAATTATTGCTTAATAAACTCTGGGTAGAGTTTCAGTTTTAGAAGATGAAAATAGATGGAAATGAATGGTGGTGATGCTTGTGCACTGTGAATGTATTTAATACCACTGAACTGTACATTTAAAAATGGTTAAGATGGTAAGTTTTATGTTATGTCTATTTTATCACAATTTTAAACACTGGGGAAAAAAAATAGCCAGGAATGTTAAAGTCCTGGTGGTGGCAGTGGGGAAAATGAAAAGAAACAGAGGCCAACTCTCCCTGTTGCAGTCAAGGGTGCTGAAAGCCAGAAGGACCTGACCATTACTCTATAGCAGATGGTATCAGCCCTGATGGGGGTGGGATATAAGGCAGCCCTCTGGACCCAGGGTCCCCTTAGGGCCCATCAGCACACATCATACTCACGTAGTTTAAGAAAGTGGCCACACGATTCCCCGTCCCTAAATGCTTGAAAGTATGTCGCTCATCATTCTACAAAATTAAGTGAGAATGAACAGGTGGGCCTGGACCCAGTACTTACGTAGTTAAGAAACGTCGCTAACCTATTCCCCTCTGTTTTGAGGCCGCTGTCAAACGGTCGCTGTAACAGACAACAACTTTCACCGAAGTTTACAACAGGCTTCATCCACCACCCACAAGACTAGGACCAAAAGGGTCATGGGAAGGTAATGAGTGTGTGTTCCATAAATCAGCCTGGAACATGTGCCAAGGCTGCAAAGTAAATTCTGGCTAGGGCATGGGGTTTGCAGGGAAAAGGAAAAGGGAAAAGAACAGTTTTCACAAAGACCTAGTGAGGCTCTTTGCTTTAGAATCAGGGCAAAAGGTGGTACAGTTAGGGCAGGGGATGAACTCCCCACATCTACATGGGAGACAGCCAGGCTCCACTGTGTTCTGCAGGATCCCTGGTTCCAGATTTGGGCTTCACCAGTAACAAAGAGTTTCTCCCAATGATGCAGAGGTGGAGGGAGGACAAGGGGTAGGGGTACTCATATGGAGGCTGAAATGCTCCTAGAAGCTCCACTGTTCTCAAATCAGCTAGAGTAGGGCCCTTTGAAAGCACCTGTGATTTAGGCCTTACCCTAGAGAAGTCGAAGTGTGGTTCATATTGTCCTCCCACTCCATAATTTGCAACCTGTGGGAAATAACAGCATTAGACCTTGTAAGCAGCATGAACAGCTCTGTAGCAGCCCATCACTCTAGGGATACAATCTTCCCAGGCCTGAAAACAACCAGAACTCCCAAGAGCAGCCTCTCTAAGGTGGAAGACAACCATGCCCTGCCAGCACAGGCAGAGGAAACATCACAAACAAGTCTACATTTCTGTCCAAGAGTAAGGCTGCAGCACAAATGTGGTCTCCCAAACAAAACAAGATGGGTGAACTGCGTATGATCACTGAGGAAAAGCTCCAGCCCCTTCATGGACACTCAGACAGCAGTAAAGGGAACACTGCTTGAGGCCAGCCCTGGCCCTGGACCCAGTTTGTTTGGGACATATTAAGATAGTAATCCAGAGGAAAGTCAGTAACAAATTTAAGAAGAGGATTTTCTTTTTTAAACTAGTTTTGGAGGTACTCAGCACCTTGTACTGTTCCTACCACCACTGCTATTCCTGGTGAGACTGCATGGGGCAGATTCCCACAGTGGTCTACTGCACGGAATGAAACAGCACAACATGGGTGGCCAGCTGCCAGGCGGCCAAGAATTACCGCACTATATCAGCAGCCCCAGTGTGACCCTGGACCTGAAGTAACATCTGAGCAACTACCAGGTGTCATAAATTGGATTAGAAATTGTAAATGCCTTTGTGGACAGCTTATCAGCAAAATGGAAAGTCTTAAATCACAATTATTGTCTCAGCTTCAGTAGACAGAATGAAAGACAAGGTTAAAGATGAAGCACAGAATCTGATATGGAAGCTAGTGGATCAAGCAGCACCACCAATGTCCGTCTGGGAACAGCTGGTTAGTGTGTCTCACTGAAAACATAAAAACCTCTGGGGCTAGGCCATAAGTTCTCAGAAAGTTGGTATTTTTTGTATATCCTTTTCTGCTATCCCAACGGTCAGGTGAGAGATGCTACAAAACTAGCAATAACAGAGACCTATAGAAATGTGGGACAGAAGCCAGGTGTGGTGGCTCATGCCTGTAATCCCAGTACTTTGGGAGGCTGAAGTGAGAGGATTGCTTGAGCCCAGAAGTTTGAGACTAGCCTGGGCAACATAGCAAGACTCCATCCGTCTCTACTAATGAAAAAATTAGCTGGGCACAGTGGTGTGCACCTGTAGTCCCAGCTACTCAGGAAGCTGAGGCAGGAGGATAGCTTGAGCCCAAGAGTTCAAGGTTGCATTGAGCTATGACTGCGCCACTGCACTCCAGCCTGAGCAACAGAGTGAGACCCTGTTTCACATATACACAAAAAAAGAAATGCAAGAAAGAAAGGGACAGAGGACTTTATAAGAGAGGAAATTCTCTTATTGGAGCACAAAATGTTGGCAGTATCATTTTCAATATCTACAAAGATAAAACTTTTGATACAAAGCATGGATGAAAACATGCTGTCATCCACTGCTTCAGCCTTTAAGATTCCTGCACCAAAAATACCTGGAAATCCTGTCAACAGCACAAGGAAGCCTGGTTCAGCAGGTGGCCCTAAGGCTGGAGATGCATCTAAGGAGAGAAGTGCCAGAGCAGCTGAGAAAGCATATCTTTTTTTGTAGTCAAGAGCTTGAAGAAAATTTTTTTTCTTTTTTTGGGGGGAGTGGGGGTAGAGACAGAGTCTCACTATGTTGCCCAGACTGGTCTCAAACTCCTGGCTTTGAGCAATCCTCCTGCCTTGGCCTCCCCAAGAACTGAGTTACAGATGTAAGCCACCACACCTGGCCTGGAAGAAAATTTTAAACACGACTGTGACTCTGTGCCAGTGCACTCAGGAAAATTCAATTAGTGCTTGTTGCTGGAGCTGCAGAGTATGACTGCATTTTTTAACACTTTCACTTGTTAAATGGAGTGCTTAAACTTACAGATCCCAGGCAGTGAAAGAAGTTGCGTTGCAAGAGCTGGCTCATCTTTTAGGTTTGGAGAATTATATTTGATCATGGTTCTGAAGCCACTGTACCTACACTCTTTAATACAATTCCCAAATAAGTACAAAATGCATGGGACCATCTTGATTTGCAGCAGTAAGATTGCCTATCCAGGCATACGTAAGTCCCCAGGCTCACGCCTTTAATAACAAGCAACTGTACATCAAGACTGATTCATGTGAGGAGGTATTCATTTAAATCTTTAGACTTACTATTGTAAGAGTGGAGTCAGTTATTTGAAAGACATGGGTATTTACGATGCTAAGGACAGAGTAAAGGCAAAATTAAAAAGGTCAGAAATCATGTTTCTGGTGAGACTGAGACATCATGCTGCCGAAGTCTTCAATCTTAGAGAATCCTAGAGGTGTAGCATCTCTTCCTCTCTATCAGATAAGCCCTCATCCAATTCACCAGAAAGCCTCAATTACCTTTTTCCTTCAAATGGTCTACAGCAAACATGTCAGCTACAGCTGAAAGAATGTCAACAGATAGAAGAACCAGCTCCTTTCCAGAGGCCTGCAGCATTTCCTAAAGGACCTGATGTGAGGGCTGTTGCTGGTGCCTAGACATGTATCATACCACAAACATTTCATATGGAGTAAGTACTTAGGGATAGATGCTGAAATCCAGTTTCCTGTTCCCTAGACCACGAAGGATCAAAGCCTTCAACACCACTGACTGGCAAAGGGAATGCCAAGACAGTTCCTAGGAGAAGAATGCAAACAAAAGTGGCATCTCAGCCACTTGGCAGCTGTGGTCTGAATCTTCCAGAAGATCCTTAACTGTAAGAGCCCCTCTACCAAGAGGTCTGGCATTTGGACCCCAGTCAACTGAGCTATAACACTATGAGAGGCCAGACAAGATAAAGTCCAAATTGTAGCAGAGAAGTCAGTCCATAAGCAAGAAGCTGCTATCTTCCATGGGTGAGTGTAAGACAGGCATACAGTGAGTGTAGCTGCACAGCTAGCCAGGAAAGCAACCGCGCCAGAGGTCCTGTCTACTTAGCCTCCTGGTCCAGGGTATGAAATCAGCCAAGCAGACTGTAGTCTTTGATCAGAACCATGAAAGTCCTGAAGACTGGCTCTGACACAGAGGAAGCAGTGGCAGATGTCTCAAAAAAAAAAAGAAAAACAAATAAAAAAAAAAACCTGCTCCAAGAAGATATGAGTCAAGACAATGCCAACAGGGACTCATCTAGCACATCAAGAGTGCCCATCTCTCTTGAAATGGTGGTGCTCTTACACACACGCAGCAAGTGGGAGATGAGACAGAAGTCCTCCATGGATGTGCTTATCTGCAGAACTTATTTAAAAATTACAAAACACAAAGTTGAACTGAACTGAAAAAAAAATATTAAAATTTCACAATACTATTTGCAAGGTAATCAGTATGTTTTTTAAAACTCTGGTAGACTTCACACAAATCCATAAAGATGAACTTCAAAATTGATTTTCCAATTGCTGATGCAGCTACACTTCTTTTTGTTGAAAAAACAGCAGCAAAAAGAAGGCTGATTTGTTTGGGCATGTGCAGGCAAAAGTTCAAAAAATCTTTCCCAAATGATCTTCAGTCGATATTCTAATGAGATCTATAGTAGATCAGACCCAAATGCCAATCATAAAGGTAAAGGCTGCTATCTTTAAGTATACACAAACTTTGGCCAAACAGAGGACCCAGGGGCCTCTAGAAAGATGCCAGTGAAACTTCTCTGACAGTGTCTTAGGTCATCAATTTTACAACAGAACACGGAAGTTCCAATATTCATAAGGGAACACAGCCAGTGCTGATTTGAACTCAATACCCAAGAGGATACTTTATTAAGGAGTTTTACCCAAGAGGATCCTTTAATAAGGAGCTTTACCCAAAACCTTTCAGCAGGGTGCTGCCATGTTTCTTCATAATCACTTCTGAATAAAGGCAGGAAGCCAGGGTCCCAGTGGGAGTACTTGGACAAGAACACTCCACCTGCACCAGCTTAACCAGTCCAGGCCTCTCACTTCCACCTACATATCACAGTGTAAGGTCCCCCAGACCCACCCCTGCCTTTCTTTGTTCTGACTGAAAATCAGACTCCCTTGACAGCTCTGTGACCCAGCCAGCGGCAGGTTTTTCCCTTCAGGCTGGAACACAAGCTGGAGTCTTGAACATTCCCAGGCACTGATGAAGGTGTTTAGGTTGTTGCCTAATACACTGAAAGAAACTAGCCCCAGCCCTGAACCAAATTCCCTAAACCCTCAAATAAACTCCACACTCTGACCCCATCACTGTGGAAATACTTAGGTAAAACAACCCTTGTCTCTTGCTGTCCATTTTGAGGATTGCTGCAGTCCACTCTGCAAGTTCCCTAATAAATGTTGTGGACTAAAGATCCAGGGGTTTAGTGCCGCTTTCTTTGGATTCTCAACCGACCCCATCTTGGCAGTCCCTCAGGGGAACTCCCCTGCTGCTGCTTTTGGAGTGACTTCAGCTGTGGTTCAGCAGGAGAAAACACACAGAACACTTTGCCCTTCAAATGTATTTGATTATGACACAGAACCATGGCCTCTGAAACAATTTTTAGCTCTCTTAGCGATGTCCCTGAGACCATTCAGGATTTGAGCTTCTGTTGTCAAGAAGACATGAATGAACCTGCCATAGCCACCGCTGATCCCTAGCTTCCAGCACACTTGGGCACCCAGCAGATGCTCAATAGATATTTGTTGAACACTAATTGTTGAAAGCCAAAAGGCATGATTAATTCTGGTTTCCTAAAATGAGATCACTCCATATTCATAGCATCAGGCAGTAGTCATACAGTTGGGCCTCTTTTGGCCCAGTTCTGGACACCTTGTGAGACCATCTAGCCACAAATACCCACTTCCCAACTCCTACAGTCCCAGGGACTATCTGTACCTGTAACAATTCTGCAGTCTTGACTGTTAACCCTGTGATGTGCTGCATCCGACGATTTACTCGGGCCACAACAGGGTCATCATCTTCCTCTAGCCAGGAGCTGGGTAAAAAGAAAAGAGCAGAGAAAAGAAGATGGAAGGGCAGGCTTCCATGAGGTCCTGCACTCTGTCCCCAGAGTCAGGGCCAGCACAAACAGACAGTACAGGGTACCTGCTGCAACAAGGGGTGAGGAGTCGCCAGCAGGCAGGAAAAGGCAAGCCACCCATTCCTAGGGTAGGCACTGAGAAGTCCTGAAGTTGAGATTTGAGCAGCTACCAACCCCTGCTCTTTGTTTACCTTTTGGAAACCCGATAGCTGGCGACAGTGAGGACTCCTGTCTTGGGATCACGAACAGTGGCTCGTGCAAGCTAGAAGGAAGGAGGAGAAGAAGGAATACTTGATTTGTTTGTTTTGCCTTGAGTATTTTCCCAGAAAGCACTGGGACCACATTTGCTGTCATGCTAGTGGAGGAAGCTTTGCAGCCAATGGCTCTAGCCAAGGCCCCAAGATCCTGCAGGCCAGGTGAGGGCAAAAGTCTGAGGCCTCCACATTCCCAATCTGCAATCAGTTCCTGGCTATTGCCCTGCTCGGTCACTGCTCATCCCTTCTCCTCCCCAGGTCTGCATTGCCTGCAGAATTATGCCTGCTTTATCCATCCATGCATCTGCCTGGCTAGCCCCTTTCCTTGCCAGGCACACATACCACTCCTGCCTGAGCACAGCCTGAGCTTAGCTACTCCCACCATATTCAGACTGTGCCACCATCCCTGAGCCTCCGCCTTATGTACTTCTCTCAACTTGGTCAAGTTCCACCATCCTTCTGAACCTCAGTGGGCTCCTCTGCCAAGAAACCCATCCAAACACTCTCCTGCTGTACCACCTCACACTGGGTTCCCACAGCCTCAAGAGGCAAAGGCAGATGGCACAGTTTTCACTCCCTTGGGATCCTTAAAAGTCAGATGATAAAACCAGGAAAAGATTCTGTGAGTTAAAATAAGTGAACCACTGCCTGGAAGTCACCCACTCACATATGTACACACTACACACGCACTCCCCTCATCTACTTCATTCCCCCAGCCTCCACAGACAGGCTTTAGTGAAACCCCAGGAGGGACTCGCTGCCCAGAGTCAGCCAACATGGCAAAGGTCCATGTGCTTCAGTTGTGGACTGTCCTAATGACCTCACATGGGTGCAGCCACAGGCCCAGGTACTCCCACCCCAACACACTTCCCCTTGATTTTAATAAATATTGATGAGTGCCTACTTTGTGCCTGGCACTATGCTAGGTAACTGAGACATGGCCCCTGCACTCTTACAACTCAGTCAAGTGGGGAAAGCAGAAAACCAGCCAGGTAACTGCAGCACAGCATGGGTGAACTTAATGTCCTGTGGAAGCTTAGGGAATAGTGTCAAGAATAGCTTCCTAGGGGAGGAGACCACCTAGCTGAGGCCTGAAGGGTTAACATGAGTTATCCAAGTAGAGAAACATTACAGGAACAGGGAAGGAGCAGCAATCCAGAGGCCTGGGAATGAAAATGGGTGTGGCAGTAGGTGTGGATTAAAGGTTAAGGGAAGTAGTAAAATAGGCTGAAAAGACACACAGGAGCTAGGGACTAGATGCAACCTTGTGGCCAACAAGAAATGGGGAAGGCTTCATGCAGTGGAGGGACACTCAAAATTTGAATGTAAAATGGATCACTGTGAATAACTCATGGAGAGTTGACTAATAAGGGGCCAGAGTGCGGACTGGGAGGCTAGTGAGGCCACGGCAGAGGTCAGCACAAGAGATGATGGTGGCCCAGGCCAGGTGGTGGCAGACGGAATGGAGAGGAGTAAATGGACCAGAAGGCTAGTAAGCGGGTGAGATGGACCAACCTAGACACTGTGCTGCTATAGCATGATCTGGTAAGATGGCCAGTGCAAGCAGGACAGATGGCTCCCAAACTCCTACTCACGGCCCTTCCTGAGCTCCAGCGTGATGTCAGTCCTTCCCTGAAAACTGCAGCCACAACCAGACCCCATCCAAACATCTGTGCCTCAGCATTGGCCTGACACCCACAAAGAGGCTCTGAGCAGCTGTGCTCTGCCCCAGGGGAAACACAGGGCTATTTTGAAAGCAGGCCAGAGACCCCATACACAGCTGCCAGGCATTCCCCACAGGCCAAATTAAGCTCGTTGGCTCTACTTCAAAGCCAGACTAGCATCTGTCTCTCACAGTCTCCGGAAAGGAGGGGTCAGCTTATCTTTGAATAGAAGCCATGTGAAGAGCCAAACATGTTTGCCATCCTTGTTTGGCTCTTCACATGGCTTCTATTCAAATACATGTTTTCCCAATACTACCCCTTGGCCAGCCACACATATATGCACACATGCACACAGAAATGTTCTCAGTGTCTGGAACTGAAGAACAGGTAAGAAATCTCCCAGGAAATCCTGGCACAACCAGCAAAGTAGTTTTCTTTCCTGGAGGACTCTGGAGCTGAGTAGAAAGGGGAGTCCTAGTCCCCATTCTCCATACATCTGGCTAGCCCCCTCCCTCAGGCACACTGATGATGCCAACCACTGACTCAAAGCCCTAGATATCCTAGTACCTCAAGCCAAGGTGTTCTAAGATGAGGTCCAGGGGCCAGGATAGGAACCTATTTCAGGTCTCTCCATGAGCGTCAGGCCTCCTGGTCACCTCGGCCACTACAATTCTATTAGGAGCAGAGCAATAGAGAATCCAGCTAAATCCTCCCTCCCAATCATCAGTGATGGGGTATGGCAGCAAGTAGGTCTCTTTGAAAGATGTCAAATGGGGAGCAAATCTTTTATGAACTAGAAACAGAAGAATAATCGTAAAACAAAACCAACAGCCAACTGCATACTCGGCAGTAAAATACCATAGGAATTCCCAGGAAGTTCAGGAATGAGACAAGGATTCCTATTCTTCGTAACTATGCTCTAGAAGTTCTGGGTGATTCAATAAGATTATAAAAACAAAGGAACTACAAGTATTATGAGAAAATAAAATTTTCCTTATTTCCAGGTGTTAATGCTATCCAGGCAACCAAAGAGAATCAGCTAAAAACCAAAAAAGGAATAAGTAAATTCAACCACTAGCTGCAATCTGCATAAGTTTGCTTTTTCCTAGGCAAAACAGAGACAGTGACACCGTTATGAGCAGCTGTTCATAACTGTGACATAGTTAATATATATGTTAAGCATTGAGAAGTTCCTGCCACAGTTAAGAACTCAGTAAACATTAGCTCTTACTATGAAATATATTTTTAAAATCAACAGTTTGGCATAGAATAGTAAACTAATATAATAATGTAACCAGTTAAAATACTAATGAAGAAATAAAGTAAATTAACAGTAACAAAGAAACTACCTGGGACTAAACTTAAGAAATGTGCAAGGCTTATATGAAGAAAACTTAAAAAGATATAAATAAATAGAGAGACCTGTCACGCCCTTGGATGAGAAGACCCAATATTATAAAGATATACATTCTCCTCTAAGTCATTCGCTCATTTACAGTCCTAATCAGGAGCTCCACAGGACCCAGCTTCATAGCACCTTATGGAATATTTCCTAAAAACTCCCACACACCAGTCTCCCAACCAGGTGCACTGACACACCAGTGTGGACCTGCCCTGTTCCCAGCATGACTTTCTATCATAGCATTGGCTGTCCACATTGGTTACCCTGTTCTTCCCCACTGGACCACGAACTCACAAGGTCAGGCTGAGTCTGAAGCATCTCTGTATCCCCACGGTAGGCCCATGCTAGATATCAATAAAGGGTGGCTAGATGAGCAAACCAACCACCCACAGTGCTAGGGATGAGAGAAAGGACCTGCCCCCTTCAGTGCCCCGAGAAGGACCTGAAGTGACACCTACTTTAGGTTTTGCGATCTCCTTGATCCTCTCGATTTCCTCATCAGACATGACATCGTAGTACCTGACGATGTGTGGGCTGTCCCACTCATCCTCCTCTTTGAAGGGGGCGATGAGCAGCTGTGGGGCCCTGTTGCCATGGTGGTACCTACAGAAAAGCCTCTTCTGTCTCCGGGGTGTCTGGAGAGCACAGAGTAACAGGCCCTGAGCTGAGTGAGTCCTAATCCTCGGTTCCAGTCTGGCTGTCTGCAGACACTGGTCTCACCTCATGGCCAGCAGCTGCTCCCTCCCACCACACCACAGAAGAAAACAAAAGTCCCAGCAGGTGGGCATGCACAGTGGCTCACACCTATAATCCTAGAATCCTGGGGGGCCAAAGGATAGCTTGAGACCAGGAGTTTGAGACCAGCCTAGATGACATAGACCCTGTCTCTATAAAAAATTAACCAGGTATAGTGGTGCACACCTGTAGTCACAGCTACTCAGGAGGCTGAGGCAGGAAGATTGCTCAAGCCTGGGAGGTCAAAGCTGCAGTGAGCTATGATTACACCACTGCACTCCAGCCTGGGTGACAGGGTGAGATGAAAGAAAGAAAAGAAAAGAGAGGAAAAACAGAGGGAGGGAGGGAGGGAGGGAAGAAAGGAAGGAAGGAAGGAAACAAAAGCCCCTTCAGCTTAACTGGCATGAAGTGACACCCCACAAATCATGCAATCTTTCTTCTCTCCCAAGATCACCTCACATCCTCAAGTCCCATGGCAGAGAGTAATTTCTGACCCTTTTCATGAAGACTTGAGTAGGTCTGAAGAGTTGGGACGGGGGAGAAACCTTTCTTGGTGGAGGAGCCAGTGGAAGTCATGCAGACAGGGGCATGGAAAAGGCCGAGAGCCTGTCACACCTGGGCCTCCTCAGGAAGCACTAGGATCCCAGGGCTCTCAAAGGCTCAATACCAAGCTCTGCTACATGCTGGTGTCTTTACCACAGAGACTTACTCTCCACTTATACCATGACTTCTCTTGGGGCCTGAGGTACGTCCACCCATCGTTTTCTTCACAACAGTGAGTGAAGCAAAAAGTGGGACACGTTGGGGTAAGGAGGTGAGCTCAGTGGTAACTTAGAGGAGCAACACTCTACCTGGGGCATGAGGGGAGACAGTCTCCTTTCCTACCTCAGAGAATATCCACATGTCAGCCTCACAGATGCCATGAAAAACTGGGGGAGATACTGAAAAAAGTACCTACAGAATGAAGAACACCTTCCCCAAACCTGCCTACCCAGAGCCAGAGTCCAGGTCTACTGTTTTGGCACCCTGGCCCCCCTCACACATCTCACCAGTTTGACACCCTCCCCACGACAGAGGCTCTCGTAAACATCCCTCTCAGGCAGGTAGTCCACAGGCCTCTCATAGATGCCTTCTGGGGTTGCTAGCTCAGCTTCTGTCTGATTTGATAACATTTTTTCTCTCTCTTCCTCCAATAACTGCTCAAAGTACCGCAGATTCCCTCCAGCTCGTTCATGGCTTGGGTCTAGAAAAAGCAAGGAACGAGAAGGAAAAGGAAACCACAAACATCTGTTAGGTCATTTAGAGAAATTATTCTGTAAGGGTTTCTCTCCCAGCAGCTCACTTGCATGCTGCATTCTACCTTCCACAGCATCTAACCAGAGTGTGCTGTTCGTAACTGAAAAACCAACAGAGGCCAGGCGCCGTGGCTCATACCTGTAATCCCAGCACTTTGGGAGGCTGAGGCGGGTGGATCACGTGAGGTCAGGAGTTCGAGACCAGCCTGACCAACGTGGTGAAACCCCATCTCTACTAAAAAAAATACACCATGGGGGCATGTGCCTCTCTAATCCCAGCCACTTGGGAGGCTGAGGCAGGAGAATCTCATGAACCCCAGAGGCGGAGGTTCCAGTGAGCTGAGATCACACCACTGCTCTCCAGGCTGGATAAGTAAGACTACGCCTCAAAAAAAAAAAAAAAAAAAAAAGAGGTAGATGAGTTTTAAAGGCACAGTGCTTTTGGCCTTCTTCAGTTCAACAGCACAAGGCACTATCAATGCCATATTAAGTCCGACTATTAGACCTAAGGCCTCTAATAGCACCGCCACTGTTTGTCACTGTAGCAATCCTAAAGTACATTCTGACTCCTGGGTTGCTCCTGATGCAATAAAGGTTCCACCCTGTGTAGTCCTGCATGGTGATAGATACACCGTAACACAGAGTCCTTACTAAAAAGGGCCACAAGTGCCACAGGCCTGAGTGTATCTATCAGCGACTGGGCAAAGCTAAGGCCAGGATTGAGGTGGGTAAGGAGCTAGTAAGAAGCTGGATTGGACCTAAAGTCAGTAATGCATTAGTCACTGGCCAAGTGACAGGGTAAACTGACTCAGTCCCAGGAGAGGGGTCAGGTAGACGCCAGCACAGTGCAGTTCCTATGCCACTCTCCATTCCCATCTTACCTTCCCCTAGAATGTCCTTACCAAGGGAGAGCAGGCGGCGGGTGAGCTCCAGGGCACGGTGCAGATCACCCAACTGAAAGACAGCATAGCTGAGGTAGTCCAGCACCTGGGACTTGGTTGTGGTGGCCTCCTCCCCAGCATCAAGCTGCTTTAGCACCTGCTCCATCCACAACACCGTATGATAATAATCCCCTTCATTGTAGGCTGAGCGGCCCATCCCAAAGCAGTCATCCACGCTCAGCACTGCCTGGTACTTGGTTCCTACAGCAGGGGAAGTAAATTGTCAGGCTCCAAAGAGCCTCTGGGTTAGGGAAAGAGATTCCCGCTTCAAGGAAAGCCTGGGCCACTGGATGGGGGCACTACCAAGCAGAACCCCATCAGACATTTAGACCGCATATCCTAAAGGGCCTCTGACACAGTGAGCACAGACAGATGGCCCTGCCCTGGACTGGGGTTCACAGCCAACCTCTTAGCCTCAGATTCCCCGTCTCCCAAGTGGGAAGGGGCCTTTTTAGGGGGAGCCCCAAAAACCCACCAGGAAGCATCATTGAGGACAATGGGAAAGTCCTGTGGACCACAGAGAAGCAGATGTCTGGTGGGCAGCTTGCCATATGAGTCTGGAGGATGGGAAAATTAGCTGAATATAAAAAATATAAATTTAGGTGGCAACCAAGCCATGGGTGAGGAAAATTGCTTGCAGGAACTCTAAGGAAAGAATGGAGAAGATGGCTGAGCCCAGAGCGCCAGGGAACACCTACCCAGAAAGAACAGACAATGAGTAACCTTGAGAAAGAACTAAAGACAGGAGAAACAGAGGGAGCGGGAGTGGTGTGAGAGCCATCAAGGGAGGCCAAGAGCCAAGGTTGCAGTGCCAGCTTTGGCTGTTAAGTGGCAGGGACCTTGCTGAGTATCAGCTCAGTGGGTCTTATGACCAAAGGTCATCTGCTGTAGGGGGAGTGCTAGAAAGTGACCATGAAGATAGTTTCAAGCCAATATGAAGAAGTAGCTATAGAAAGATGCAGGATTTAGGGTGGGCTCAAGATGGGAAAGACTATGTGTGCGGTTCCTCAGAGAATAATGAGAAAGCAGATACCATGGAGGGGAAGTAGGGGCTGTGACTCTCCCTGGAGAGCAAGGAAGACTCCCCACAGCCCCATTAACAGCAACGGGGGCATGGCTGACGCAAAAGAACTCAGAGAAGGCTCTTTCTGCCTGGAATGAAACCCCTACATAGTAGGCTAAATGCTTCAGAGACCAGGGTCTGCTCACCCCGGTGGCTCAGGAACCAATAACGAGGAACAGGAAGTTGGGGAGAGTAAACACAAGATGAAGTCCGTAGGTAGGCCAGGGATGAGGGGGCTCCTGGAGCCCTTGTCCCTCTCCACAGGTCTCCTCTGGCTCTGCAGGCCCAGGAACCTGCATTGATGGGGCAGAGTAACATAGCTGACTGAGCTGGGGCTCTGGAGCCGGACTAAGCTAGGTCTGTGTTGGCCTCACTAGGGCGCCCACCAATGTGTGACTATAGACAAGATACCATATCTCTCTAAGTCTCAGTCCCCTTATCTCTAAATAAAGATAATATCAATTTTAAAGAGCTTGTTCCAAGAATTCAATGAGATGACATATGAAGATGTCTCCTATGATCCCCAGGATGCTAATGACCAGTAGCTATTATCAACATGTCTCCCAGATGCCAAAAATGCTAAGAATGGCTCCCTGGCACTCAGCATCCTCCCTAGAAGCCAATTCGAATGTCTGCTCCCTGGAGAGCACTTGGGAGAGTGACAGCTGAGCTAAGTGCTGATAGGCAATCAGACATGGAGTAGCCCAGCTGACATGGGTAAAGGTATTCCTATAGAGGGGTGAGACAAAAGAGCTGAGTGATAGGCAAAGCTGAGTACACTGGGCAAGGAAGCCAGGAAAATAGAGTCAATACAGGACCCCAAAGATCACACACAGGAGGAGTTTGGGTGTAGCCTTGGAAATTAAGCATAGTAATCAGGAACTCATGTGAACAAATGTGTGCTTAAGACCATATGGAGGATGGTCTTAAGCAGTGAGCTGGAAGTAGGGACAAGTCAGGATGGTATTTTGATAATCAAATTGAGAAAAAAGTGGCTGTGAGGCTGGAGTCAGGGGTAAGTACAGAAGACATGAGAGAAGGAGGTAGAATCCATAGGCCTTAGGATTCTGGCTTAGGCAGCCAGAGGATGGAGGTCCTTTTTGCTGAGATAGAAGGATGAGGGGGAAGGTAAAGTGTTCACAAGGAGATGAGGATTTCAGTTCACGACACATGAAGTTCAAGAAGTCCATGGAACATTCAAGTAGAGATGTCCCAAAGGCATCTGTCTACACTGGTTAGAAGCTCAGGAGACAAACCTTGGCAGGTAACACAGATCTGGATGTCATCTACCTCACATGATGGAAATGGCGGGGCTCACCTGGGGAAGGTGTTCAGGGAGAAGATGAGGTAAGGATGGAGTCCTAGGGAGTAATTCCCTTCTGCTCCATATCCCTATTCAGGACACTCACAGGTTTGCTGAGTGAATGTGAGAGGTCAATGCCAGGGTGTGGTTCCCTTCTCCAAGCAACCAATCTCAAGGCTACAGGGTGAACAGATCTTGCAGGTGCCCTGAACTGCCCTCTCTCTAATGGAGTCTAAAGTGGGCAGCTGGGGCTCTGGAGCTGGAATAAGCTGGGTCTGCATGGGCCTCACACAGTGAATTGCTGGGTTTACTGGTCTCCAGTAGCTCTCAAAACATCTTCTTATAAACACTAACACTGGGAAGTCAGTGGGAGATGGGCCACTTGAGAGAAAATGACCAGAGAGGCTAAAAGAGAAGCAGATATCAGTATCCCAGAATTCAAAGGAGGAGAGAATATCACGAAGAATGAGGCAATCCATCTGTCAAATGCTGCTGTGAAGTAAAAGAACATTATGTGTGAACCTTGTTCTCTGCATTTACCAGCCAAGTGGCCACTGATGACCTTGCAAGAACAGGATCAGTGAACAAGGGGGAAAAAGGCCAGATACTGTGAGTTCAGGAGTATATGGGAACCAGGAAAGTGGATAGAGTGTAGATTACTCTATCCAGTAGCCTAACCAGGAGGGAAGAAGAGATGGATCAGCAGCAAAGACTCAAAAGAGTCTCAGATACTGAAGGAGACAAGTGTAAGATGAGCAAGAATACAGCCTATATGTGAGCTCCAGGGTAGAACCCGGAGAGGTGGAGACAGAATGTATAGGAGCAGAGACTGTAACTAAGAGGACTCAGGACAGGGGGACACTAAGCCCAGATCAGTCTTAGATGAAAAGACATTGGAGGGTGGGAGACAGGAAGCAGGTCTGAATGCAGATCTGTGTGGTGCTCTGGAGACAGAGGCAGAGGGGGTTCCTGAGCAGCAACTCTGGCTTTCTCTGAGACACAAGAGGAGAGGGCCTTGGCTAATACATGGAAGGAGGTGGCAGGGCAGTGGCTGAGGGAGAAACCTGTCATGGGAGAGGGAGTCCAACACAAAATGGTGAGCCAAGAGGTACATCAGAGGTGCACCTGAGGGTAGAGGCCACAAGTCAGTGGTGGCTCCAACCTGTCCTGCCACTAAAGAGACACATGCAGGACAGGCAACGCCTGGAGTGGTGAGTTACCTGGAAGTTCCCCTCTGGAAATTGTGTCTGGGTCCAGCCTGTATGTGTCCTGAAGTCTCATCAGGGCTTTGGCAGCTCCTACCTCATCCTCATCAGTGGGGAAGAACTGCCGCTGCACAGAGAGGTTGGCGATAAAACCTTCCAAATGAGAGTCAGAACAAGAGATTACCCTTGATCCAGGGGCAGAATTCCACTTGGGACCAGAGAGGCAGCCACAGAGAGGGTCTCTGGCTAGTGAAATTTCCCCGCCCCTTCCCTCAAAGGCTGTTGCCCCTTCCACCAGGAAGTTGTCCCTGATTACTCCAGTCTATGGGGACTTTTCCTTTCTTAGTCCTCACTGTACCTACTGCCCGTGCTGCTCTTTGGAACTAAGTAGAAACAGCCCCCCATATTAGTTAATATTTAGGAGTCTAGAAGTCTTGGCTCCAAAGCATTCAGTCAGAGCTGGTGGAGACAGAAGAAACAGAGGATTGAGAGGGTAACTGAGAAGAGCACAGGAGAGGACTCAGGGAAGAACTGTCAACCACTCAGTGGAAAATGAATCCCATCGAAAACCTTGATCCAGGGTAATTGGGCCAGTCAGGTAAACACAGACTTCCAGCCCACATTTCAAGTTGAGGAGTCCAAGGGACAATGACAGTTAACTAATGAAGCCGAGCTGGCCACTCATTACTGACCACTGGCACTTATCATCCAGAAAGGTGATGATGAAAGTCCTGGAGGTCATCCCCCTCCCCCTAGGTTGACAGCTGAGGGACCACCTAGACAGGCCAAGGACCAGGGTGGGGCTGCACCAGCCCAGCAAGGTCAGTCCCTTGAGAGACCATGGTGGGCCTATTCTCCTCTGTACTCCCACCACTCAGACCTGCAATGAGTTCAGGGCATGGGCTCTCCAGTTATGGTGCTCAAGACCACAGCCTGAAGCCTGGGAGAGCTTTTGACCACAGAAGTACTCCAAGGAGGCTTTTCTGGGACTCCAAGCCCTAGCTGTAAAGTAAGATGTGTACCTCCCACAATCCCAGGGCTCCAGGTGGGAGCCAAGCCTTCCCAGGGTGACTTAGGGCCTTCAATTCTGCCTCTAAGCTGAGAAATGAGAGGGGAACAAGGCCATTCCTTCCCCAACCTCTCCCCAAGAGCAGCTATATCCACTGCCACCTATGACTTCAGACCTAAACATCCACTTCCAGCTATAACTGGGGACAGGGACCAAGAAGCTATAACCCTGCCTTCCTTGTCTTCATAGCTACATGGTCAGGGACTCTAAAGAGTTTAGAATCTGGTGGGGTGGGGGTAGGGGAACATGCTGCCAGGAAAAGCCACACTGTCAGCATGCCCCATTCATTTCAGGGGCAAGAACTCAGAAGTCAGAGATGAAAACAACCAATTATTCTCTGGGCCTGACCTAACTCCTTCTAGGTAATCATAAGGTTTTCCAAAGGAACCAGATGATGGTGTGAGTGTAGGGTGTGGAGAACAAGATTGGAGAGGGGAGGTCATCTGGGTAGGCTTAGTCTCCTGCTGTGCAGGCAGAACAGCCTGTCCCAAGCTGCAGGCCCAGGCGGAGAGGCGGGAGTCTGGGAAAGGCAGACGTGGTTTCTGGAGGCAGTGAGCTCACTGGGCACAGCTCCAGCCTGGCTGAGCTCACCAATCCCTCTCCAGAGGCCACCCTGCCCCCAAGCCCAACCCAGTCTGGCCACATGGGCTAAAATGTCTCAGCCAGAGAGACAGCTAGTCTGAAGTTAATCAGCACTCACAACTCAGGGAAAAGAGGCAGTGAAGAGCTGGGTACAGTGGTTCTGTGCCTATAGTCCCAGCTACTCAAGAGGCTGAGGCAGGAGGATCACGTGAGGCCAGGAGTTCAAGGCTGCAGTGTGCTACGATCACATCTGTGAATAGCCACTGCACTCCAGTCTGAGCTAATACAGTGAGACTCTGTCCTTTTAAAAAAAAAAAAAAAGGCAGCTGGGCGTGGTGTCTCATGCCTGTAATCCCAGCACTTTGGGAGGCTGAGATGGGTGGATCACGCGGTCAAGAGATCGAGAACATCCTGGCCATCTCATGGTGAAACCCTGTCTCTACTAAAAATACCAAAAAAAAATTAGCTGGGCTTGGTGGCACGTGCCTGTAGTCCCAGCTACTCAGGAGGCTGAGGCAGGAGAATTGCTTGAACCCGGAGGCGGAGGTTGCAGTGAGCCGAGATCACGCCACTGCACTCCAACCTGGTGACAGAGTGAGACTCTGTCTCAAAAAAATAAAAAGGCAGTGAGTCCAGAGGACTAAACCCAGGGCTAGGAGTTAGGAGAGCCCACCTCTAGGCCCACCCTACCATCTCTTCTTATGACAGGAAAGTATTAGGGCATAAAAAGTATTATCACAACAAAAGCATCAAGTATAGTTTAAAGCTTTTAAAAAGTTCACACTCTGACCTATAAATATGACTTCTAAGAATTTACCCTTAAAAAAAATCAGAAGTATACACCAAGAAATATGTAAAAAGGTGCTGATAATTCAGAAAAAATCCCATATCCAATTACTTGACCCATTTGACAGTATTATGACAGATTATCACCGTCTGATAGGTAGTCACCATCCAGACATTAAAACCACGTTGCAGAAGAACACTGAATAGCATATAAAGCAGCTCACCTGGCCAACATGGTGAAATTCAGAAAGAATTTTTTCTTCTGTCACAAATCTACCATCAGATACACTTTGTTTGTAAAAGATATGAATAGGAATGAATTTAGATGAGACCTATGCTCCCCAACTTGCCCTGGTCCCACCATCCAGCCCACTTGACACTTGTAAATTCATTTGTCCCTTCAAGCAACTGAGTTTGCATGCCCTGGTATGTATGTATAGTTCCATTTTTTTAATGTATATGCATAGGTAGAAAAACTATAATTTTAATAATGCTCACCACTGGGCAATTGGATTAAGAATTATAATTCTCTTGTTTTTGTGTTTTCCAACTTTTCTATAAACATGTATCACTAAAGTATAATCGGAAAAATGTCATTAGCAAAAAATAAGAAAAGACAGACACTAAAAAAAGGACGCTAAAAAAAGAACTAACCATCATTAGATGTTAAAAACCAAGGACAGCCAACTTCCAGGTCCCCACAGAGAAGGGAGAGAGCCATGAGACCAGCAGGGTCCTGTTTGTATAATGCACTTGCCCACCAACACCCAGACCCAAGACAGGCTCAGGCACAACAGCCCAGGCATGAGCACACGAATATATGGGCTCACTCAAGCACCTGCTCACCGTCCCTCACCTGCAGCTGAGTCCTGCAGGACAAGGTCCTCCAGCGCAGGCCAGTCTGTGTTTAGCCGCTTCACCAGTTTGTAGGCATTCACAGGGTGGGCCAGGTAGCCCTCAGCGTCAGCAGCTGACTTGCTAGTCAAGGCTTCCATTTTGTTGGCCCAGCTGTGGAACCAGAGGAAAAGGAAGAGTAATGCGTCCACCCACATAGGTCTTGACCTGTGATAATTTCTCTGGTGAGAATTCCCTGGTGCCAGGTGCTAGGGCCCTTCTCATCAAGAGGCAATGAAAAATGAATACAGTAACTCCCCACAGATACTTCTAGCCCCTTAATCTAGATAAGAGCTGGGACCCCCCAATTTAAGGGAAAAGGTCTTAAATACAAAATAAACGGTGACTCCTTAGCCCATGCACTTAGCTCCTCTCAAGGACTGACATGAAGTAACCAGGCCAGCCCCACATCACCCTCTCAAGGGCTTCCTCTAATAGGTACCCTGAGTGGCTTCCTTGTTCCTTGAGGGGCAGAAGGGAAGGAGGGCCAACTAAGGGTGGTATGGGGACTTAGGACACCTCTTAATCTTGGAAAGCTTGGCTTCCTCCACAAGGATGTACTCCTTCAGAGACTGCACCAGCTCTTTTTCTGCATAAATCAGGTCAGTCATGTGCCCTGCAAGAGAGAGAAGAAAGGCACCAGTGAGAAACAGAAGAGGGATGTCCAGCCTCCTTCCTTGGAGCACAGCATACCAGCACAGAAGCAAGTCCCCTGGGACAAAAACATGTAAGCTCTCTGGGGATTATGGGGACTTGGAGTTAAAGGGGGCCTAGGCACTCATGGGGTCCTATCTCCCAACTTCAGAGAGAAAGAGGCAGAGGCACCAGTGGGACATTTGAGATAAATGCACTGGATGTCACTCAAGAAGTAGACCTAAATCTCATTCTCCAACTGTTACATAGCTGGTCATGACACTCAGGCATGGATATCCTGGGGGCACATCACAGGATAAAAAGCTCTGAACTTCAGGTCAGAAGGATAGGAAAAGCTTGATCCTCAGGATACAAAAGATTTGCTGCTCAGAACCACTCTCTGGTCCATGGGCAAGGTGGTCAAAAAGACCAGAGAGCCCAAGTGCAGCCTGCACTTCCCAGGGAGAAAGACCCAATTCAGACAGTTGGCTTCCTGAACAACCAGATCACTGGGATCGTATAGGGGAAAATAGCAACTCTGCCAGTTTCACTCTTCTCAGAACTGGTCAAAACCAGTTATTAAGGCTATCCCACTCTAAATGAGAACAGGCTGCAGCCAGAGATATCCGTGGCCAAGGTGAGCCAAGGTGTCAGGGAGACGACAGTCCTGTTGGCACGTACCAATAGAGGTGAAGAATTCGGCCTGCACACAGCTCAGGACACCAAACCAGGCCATCAGCAATGCAGACACCCAGAGTTTCATGGTCACAGAGGGAAGTGTCTGAAAGGCATTCAATGACAATCACTGGATCAACAAAATGAAAAAGTAATTTAGGTGAAGAGACACTTAGGCATGTGAACACATATGCAGATACCATGTGATACACATAATCAAACATACCAAAATCCTGGCCTAGCACACAGAAGCTAAAAAGGATAAACAGCAGAAAGAAGAAAGTGCGTGCAGCCAGTGATGTGTGCTCAATTCTGGTCGCTGCTCTGGGAAGCCATATGCCCTAGGCAGAAAGCCCATCCTCTCTACTCCCAGCAACCACCTGTACCATGGGAAGGTGGAATCACAGCGGGGTATAGTCAGCTCTGGTTCCATCGGTCTATCAGTCCAAGATTCTGGCCCACTCCTTCTTATTTCACAGACTGCTGTTTGTTTCTGTCTTATCTTCCAAGACATATGCCAGGACAGCGCCAGGTTCTAGGGAACAAGTACCTGCCCACAAGTACTGCTCTCGTGTACTGTTACACGAGAGATAATAACAGAAAGATAATTTGACACAACATCCTCCAGGGTACCAACACCCAAACTAAGGTGTACAACAGAGAGCCAGCCAGAAGAGAAATAAAACTAACCCCTCCCAGTCTGCACCTGCCAGAGAAAGAGCAGTCAGGGGAGACAGTCTCCTGGGCAGACAGTGTTCTTCCTGTAGTAAGGCTCCTTGGCAGACACTGTCCTCACTGGCCCGTCACCATTCATTCACAAATATTTACTGAAGACCTGCAGATGCCAGGCACTGATCTAGGCACTCAGGATACAAAAATGAATATGCTACACATGGCCAAAACCTCAGGCTGGGCTGCTGACATGGGAAAGGGGCCAGCTACTGTCTTCTCATCGGTCCAGAAATAGGCACAACCTGAGACAAGCCCCACTGGCAGTAACCCTCAGCCCACAACAGAAGCTTCAGATGTCGTCTTCCCAGCTCAGCCATGCAGCCTAGACTGTGTTGGAGGATTAGCACCCATCTGTACCCCAGCTCTGCCAGTCTTCTTCCTGCCCTGCTTTTAAGCACCCTACTAGAGTGCTCAAATGGAAATCTACTAAGAGAAAACAAGCAAAACAAAGGAAACACAAATGCTTCCCCAAAAAACATAAGCCTTATCTGACAGAATTCTAAGTCTAAGCTAAAGCCAGTTCATCAATTTTTTGCCTGCCATACTTGATTAAACACACAGCACACCCACCATTCCTCATCTTACTCTTTCAGAAGAAATCCTAATCCATTGAGATTCCAGGTTAGGCTTAGAGAAGGCCAACCACAACTCCCATCTGCAAATGGGATCCTCTATCACAAGGAAAGAATAAGTGAATGGCCCCATGTGTTCATGCCTATGCCAAAGATCTGCAGAGCTGACAGTCTTCCTGTCATAGTCTAGGTGTAGGGGTCCCAAGACACACAGGACAATTATCTTTCAACCTGGAACCTGCTGCAGGGTAGGGAGTATTGTGCTGAGCAGTCCATTAGGGAGTCAGAGCAGCCAGTCATCCAGGGAAAGTGAGTAGGCCTGGGCTGGCCCTGAGGCAGAGTCCAGGCCCTCCTGGTTCTAGCCACAGGTCTGCTTCAAGGCCTTACTATACTGTCTTCTCTATCCCAGGATTTCAGAAGGCCTCTCTCTTGCTTGCACAAGCCCCTTACACCTAAGGGATTGAGTGTCTGTTCCTTGTTCCTCAAAACACTTGACTGGCTCAGGCTCAGCTCCTTCTGTATGTATGTAGGGAGTGGACAGTGAAAACATAGAGCTGGGAGGATGTATCTATGAACAGAAAGGGACCACCTGACTGCTCCTCAGAGCTGGGGTGGTGGGAGAACAGAGCTCAGGCAGGATTCCAAACCAGACATGATTGGAAGTGGGGAACCCAGCATCTCTCCCCAGGTGTCTCTCCAGCTACAGTTGCATACCTTTTTAGAGGCCAGATAAATTCCAGGGAGGAAGTCTGTCCATTCCTTTCAAAGCATTCTGCTCCTGTCATCTATGGTTCATACCTCACAGCACTCAGGGAAAAGCCAGGTTTCTTCATTACATGAATACCAGCTGTCATTTCTCTGGAATGTGTGATCTGGCTTAGACTGAGCCCATTCTTGAATCTCAGCCTGGAGGCAGAGCCTCAAAGAATTACAGATGGGGTTTGGGCAGAGCCTCAAAGAATCACAGGTAATCACAGATGACTTGCCTACCAAGAGCCTGCAAAGTCTTGCTCTGGTGGGAAAAGTGGATAACTAACTCTGCTAGCCTGGAGAGCTGGGCATCTCCAAGTAGCAGCTCCCAGACTACCACATCAACACTGACATCTCAGGCAGGGGTACTCTGGAGCCCTACCCCATTTCTCCCAAGCCTGGGCCCCTTAACTCAAAAGGCTCTGCACAAAAAGTCCTCTAATTAGGGTTAGATTGGGAAGAGGCAGCATCCAAGAGGGACTGTGCCCCACAATGTGGGAAAGGCCAATCCCCATCCCATCTTATAACTATGCCCACAGCTTAAGACAGAGTAGGCGAAAGTATGTGTACCTGCTGAGTGCCCCTACAAAGTGTCCAGTGCTGCCAAAAGCCCTGCCAGAAACCCTCAAAATCCAAGTGGAATATGTCTGGAGGTGAACCATGTCAAACTCTATTTTATGAAAAACAAAGTGACACCAGCCTTGAGCAGAAAACCAATACTGAGTTTTATCTGTGCTGCATGCCCAGAGTTCAGAACAATGCCTGTCTCATACCAGGAACACAATGAAAAATACTTCACCTCAGACTTGTTCAAATTAGGAAACTACAACAATAGAAGATTTTACATTTCTTCTATACAATAAGTTTTTATGGAGTATATTAAGAATGAATACTATATACCAACATGGAGAGATCAAAGCATACTGTTAAGTGAGAAAAGTGGGCCCCAAATAATATGCACTCTATAATTCCATTTTGGTACGGAAAAATTAATGTATGTGTGTATACAGAGAGATGCGAAAAAAGAGTTATACGTCTGGCTCTATCTTGGTGAAATAATTTCTTTTTATTTTTATGCTTATTTGTTTCTCTACTCTTTCTACAAGAAATTCTATAGCAATTTTTAAAATTATTTTATCATATGCTTAAAATGTAAAGAAAACAGAGCAAGTCCTTCTCAAATAGACTCCAAAGGGGCCCTGCCAGCCCCAGTGTTTGGACCCCCACAGGGAGGTCCTGCAAAACCTGCCAACATCCCAGCAACAGTGAGTCACCCATCAGGCGACTGGCACTGTTTCTAAACACAGGGCAATTCCAAGACATACACCAGAGGTCCCACCAAGCCTGATCTTTGGAAAAGACATTGACAATCTGGCCAAATGGCCATGAAAAGATGTTTCCAGCTGCAAACCAGCAGTGTCCTTAGCTTCTCTCCTTACCTCATCAGGCAGACCCTCTGCCAAGCTCCCAGCTGCAACCCAAATGCAACAGCTTGAGTTTTAACAATGTATTTAACAGCCTAGAGACAGAACATGAGCTTGCTGAGAACAAACTGGTCTTGCTTGGCACTGAACAAGAAGCTGCCTGCCTTCTATGAAGGGGGAAAACCTAACCGGACATGGCTCCCCACCACCCCCAACTCTAGGATAACAGAGCTGAAAGGACCTGTGTGTTCAGCCTAAGAGGATCCAGAGGCTCCAGGAGACCCTGCCACCAAAGCATGTGGATGTCCATTCAGGCCCATAAGCTGCTGTCACGGCACCCTAGGCAAGTATGGGGGGCACCCTACTTTCCTGAGCCTCAGTCATCACCCTGATCTGAGCCACCCCTAACTTCCCGTACAGCCATCCTGGCCCCTACTACGCTGGCCTCTCCACATCTCATCTGGCCTTCCTCCCACCTCTGCTCTACAAAGTAGCCAGCATGGTTTATCAAAGCCCTCCTTTGGCTCTCTACTGCCATCAGGATAAAGTCCAAACTCTTTAGCCCAAAGGGTCCTTTTGACTGTGTGACCAGGCCCTGCTGCCCTCTCCAGCCTCATGTCACCATGCCAGGTTTCATATCTTCAACAACTACTTTATGTGAAAAATATTCTCCTTCACCAAGAACCTAATAAAGCCAAGATGTTTATCTGTGCCTATCCACATACATTCTCTATCTGGTACATGAACAGTGATTGACTTCCACTTTCCCACCTGGGTACCATCAACACCACCACAAAGTCTTGCTTCAGTAACTAGACAATGAAGTAGCAGAGAAGGCTGTTAAAACTGACATGCAAAACCCAAGTTGGGTTTTCAGTCACAGTCTCGGCAGAGACTTGGCAGTCCGGATGAGACTAACTCATAAAAGGGAACTACACTCGAGGATAAAATCCATATACCACTATATTGGATGCCTCTTATGTCCCACCTTGCAACCTCTTGGTCTCACCCATCTCCCAGGTCCCAGGGTATTTACTTTGCCTCAGCTCAGTGGCGTAGACTATCCAGGCCCAAGCTAGAATCTCTGGCTCCTCTCACTATCTCCAGACTGTTGAGGTACCAGACTGGTCTCCCCAGTGGCTACCAAAGGGCCCTCATAGGGTAACCGAGTACATCTCTGTGCAGGGTAGCCAGCTTGCTAAAACACCACCTCCCATCCTCCTTTATAGCTCACTTTTTTTTCCTTTTATTTTTTTGAGACAGTCTCGCTCTGTCGCCCAGGCTGGAGTACAGTGGCGCAATCTTGGCTCAATGCAACCTCCACCTCCCAGGTTCAAGGGATTCTCGTGCCTCAGTCTCCCCAGTAGCTTGGACTACAGGCGTGTGCCACCATGCCCAGCTAATTTTTGTATTTTTAGTAGAGACGGGGTTTCACCATATTGGCCAGGCTGGTCTCAAACTCCTGACCTCAGGCAATCCACCCGCCTCGGCCTCCCAAAGTGCTGAGATTACAGGCGGGAGCCATCGCACGGCCTGAGCCATCACATGGGCCTGCACCTCACTTTTCCCTCACCTTGGCTGCCCTGCAATTACACCTTCCAATAAAGCATTAAGTACTTAAGCTCTGTCTCAGGCTGTTTCCTGGGAACCTAGTCTGAGATAACCACTATTTGTTTCCAAAAATCTTTCATTTCTATTATCTAATTCTCACCCAAACCTTCTAAGCTAGATAACTACCTCCATTTCAGATATAAGATAGATACAAATGACAAACAGCTGAGGCTGAGAGAGGGTTTCCTGCATACCTGACATCTGACAACAAATCAATGACAGAACCAAGAGTCAAACACAAAACACACTCTGCTGGATATTGCAGCCATCCAGTCCTACTCAGTAATCTATCTGTTACCTTAAAGTGCAATGGACTCCCAAACAGGGGAGCCACACTTTGCCCAGGAAGAGCATGCCTGCCCAGGTTAAGGACTTTATCATGGGTTACACCAAAGGTTCATAAAGCAGGTCCATGACATCCCTGGCTGAATCTCACCAGAGGGAGGAACGCAACATGGACCCAGAAAACAGCACCATGGTCCCTTAAGTTCAGATGGGCAGTCACTCCTACCTTAGACAAGACAGCACTCACAAATAACCAGCCAGTCCAGCTCAGGGCAAGGCAGTACAGTCGAATGGATAGGCACACCTGCCCTAGGGTCAGACATACTAAAAGTTAAACCCCAGTTCTATACCACTTCCCAGCTTTGTGACCTTGGACAAGTTACAGGATTCCTCAGTTTCCCCATGTATATAATAGAGACAATACTAGGACCTATATCTCGTAGGGCTGTTGGAGGACTGAATGTGATGACAAATGTTAGAAGGTAGCCCCACAGTAGGCATAATTTATGTCAATCATTAGTACCAAGGGCAGCAGAGAAACATCAGTGGACCTGAGGCAGCCAGCTGCTCAGCCCAAGTCAGCTGATTCCCGGGTGAGAAAGAAGGTCCAGACTAGGGGACAGTGAAGATGCAAACAAGGCAGAAATTGGGCGATCTCCACGTCCCAGGAGCGCCACAAGAGCTGAAACATTTAATTCAGGAGAGACTGGAATCAGGTATAATGTAGTACATTGATTATCAGGGGATAACCCTGGAACTGGTCAATCACTGGTTCTAAAGCTCATCAAGCAATGTTCTCTAGCAAAAGGTGGAGGACTGGACCAATACTCTAGGATCTCACACACTTACATGCCTCTGACCTGCTCATTCCAGGCTCCTACAAGTACCCAGGCCTGAGGATCTCCACTACACCCTGGCCCTCAGAGTGCCAGGTACAAAACAGGCCACACTCTAAGCAAGCACTTCCCAAGAGGTCCAGAGCAGATGCTGGCCTCTTACCAGGTTCAGACAGATTCCATCTGAGCTGGAGAGCATTCTACCCAAACACTTAATCCTCTGCCCTGCAGTGACACCAACTGAACAAGAACTCTCTTCTAGGGCTCCAGTAAATCATCCAGACTTTTCATTCCCCTCTGCTCTGAGGAAAAAACAACAACTGTCTTTCTATCCTTCATTCCATGTCCCTAGCACAAAGCCCACAGACCACAGGACCTTCCAGCCCTCTTTGCTCCAGGACAGGCTGATGTCTTACCCTAAGGAACTTCCAAATTGTTAGATGTGAGCAACTTTCCCGAAGTTTAACTCTCACTCCAGCACTCTGCTGGGCTTGCACGTACTTGCATCACAGCTTTTCCTGCCAACTTCCATCTGCCTAATAGTAAACTCTTGACAGACCCCAGGAGCCAGGGACACACCTCCTAGCCCTCTGCACACTATCAGCCAGCGTGGCCACAAATCAGCCAAGGCCTTGCTTACAGTCTCAGACTCTCCCAAGGATGTGGGAGGGCAGAGTGAAAAAGGGAGGCCTTCTTAGGAAATGAGGAGACCCTAGATTCCCTCAACCGACTCATTCCTGGGAGCTGCACCCACGTAGTCTCTTCCTTTGATGAGCACTCACAGCTGGGCTCCTCCCCTGGCACATGGCCAGCTGCCAATATGAAGCAGCAATCTCAGAGTACGAGCTACCCACAGGCAAGAATAGTGCCTCAGCCACCTCTTCTCTCTCCTCCCTCATTCCAGCCCCAGGCACGCTCTAGTCAGAAGCCAAACAGGCAGGAGGCACTCAAGGGATGAACTGAGATCAGCTGGGGCCAATCTAAACCAGTGACTAAGTAAGCACTGTCTAGAGTACCCCAATGCAGAGCTTTCGACAGGATACAAGGGCCTATCACATGCCACAGACAATGTCTCAGCTAAGCTGTCACCAAGTCTGCCTGCTAAGCTCTCAAAGAACTAGGGTGATCCAGTATGACAGCATCTTTGGGATGAGGCCCCCAGCCAACTCACTCCATCCTTGCTACGTGGCTTCATTGGCTGGGCCACACAGTGGACACTCTGCTGTGTAAGAACAAGGAGGCTCTAAAAGAAAAGAATTCAAAGATCAAACATTCTGTGAGTGGGGAGAAGCAAACAGAGAGACTGGGCCCTGAGGCCCAGAACCACAGTGAGAGGCTGCACCTTGGACACTTCAGGGGCAGTTTAAGTACAAGCCAAAGGAAATACGAGTTCATTTAACAGAGACTAAATTATGAAACCGATTAATGTCAGATGAGATACAGGCTGAGAACAAGCAGCAGATCCCAAAAACATCCTATAAATTCTTAGGTGGACAATGGATCTCTGCAAAGTCTGGGATACTTAAGAATGCCCCAAGTCACAAAATGACGAACCCCAGCCCTTGCTCTTAGGACAGGATCTCCTACAAGAGGGCTGAGGCTGTGAGGCCCCCAGGTAGTCTAGATCAAGAAGCACAAATCTCGGGTGTCACTCTACAGCAAAAGACAACAGTTTCAGTCTTGGGAGGGATCCCAATGCTCTCCTGCATCATCTGTTTTTTCTTTTCTTTTTTTTTTTTGAGATGGAGTCTCGCTCTGTCGCCCAGGCTGGAGTGCAGTGGCGCGATCTCGGCTCACTGCAACCTCTGCCTCCCAGGCTCAAGTGATTCTCCTGCCTCAGCCTCCCGAGTAGCTGGGACTACAGGCGCACGCCACCACACCCAATTTTTTTGTATCCTCCTGCACCATCTTAAAGGGTCAAATAAAACACAAAGGCCAGGGGCCCACGTGGGCTGCCCAGCAATACCTGAGGCAGCAAGTGCCCTGATCCAGGCTCATGCTGCGAGGGCCAACTGGGCATCTTACACATGCACGGCACAGTACCAGGCACGTCGTCTCACTCCAGGGTCTTGTGGACAACGTCCGTGGACAGCTATCCCCTACAGTGTTCCTTCCCCATCACCTTGCTTCCACTACAATGCCATAAGGAATGGCATTGGCCAAGGTCTCTGCTCCCACTCATATAGGCTGTTCCTCTGTCCACAGTGCCCTTTTGCCAGCCTTCCTCTGACCACTCCAGCTCATGGGTCACCTCCTCCGGAAAGTCCCCTGGCCAGAGGCAGCCAGTCCTCCAGCAAGTACCCACAGCCCGCATTCCCTTCCAGCACAGCGCTCACCACACCGCTCTGGGCCAGGACCTTCCCGCTCTTCCAATCCGCCTGTCCCACTGGGTTAGCAACTGCTTGCGGTTTCTGGCACACAGAAGGGTCCCGTTTGTTGAATTAGTTAACGAATTATCACGGGTCTCCGCAGCTGCCAAGGAAAAACAACGCAGGTTCCACAAGGATGTCTGGGGGAGAAAAGACTTTCTGATCCAATGGCCCGTCTAATGGGCTCCAAGCTGGACCCTGCCAGGACAAGACCTCGGACTCCCAGCCCTTGGGAGGGTGCAAAACGGGCCTAGCCAATATGAAGCGGCCCCTCAGGGCCAGGCGGACGCCGCACCCCTGCTCCCAACAGTCAGCAGCCCGGGGTCAGGCCGCCACTTCCCGGGAGCCTGACAGGGAAGGGCGGCCAAGTTCCCAGGCCCGCCCGACCGCCGAGGGGACTGCACGAAGGGCGCCGCTGACCTCACCACCCTGAGCTCGGGAAGGCTTGCAGGCGGCGAGACAAGAACCCAGACGGGTGCAGAAACAGGGCGGAGGGCGCAGCGTTGCGGCCCGGACTGCTTTGCGGGCGGCTAGCGGCGAGACCCCTGGCCTTGGCCCCGGCCCCGGCCCCTCTCAGCCCCGCGCGGGCAGAACGCACCGCCTGGCGCCTCCAGCCCGCGCCCCAGCCCTGGGGTTGATCTGGCTGCTGAGCGGGCGGGGCGCTCACCTGGACACTCGCAGCTCCCGGCGTTTCCAGAACCTCCCGCGGCGTCGCCCGGTCAGCTTGGCGCCTCCTCCCTTGGCGACTCCGCCTCCGGCAGCGGCTGGGGCTCCGCCCACTTGAGCCGCCGCCACGTCCCCACCTCACGCTCCACACGCCCGACTGCGTCCAGGCTCCGAGCTCCCGGGGCTCTGGCGGGGTTCGCAGTCCTCTGCGACCCCTGGGAACGCCCAGGCTACCCGACCTCGCGGGAGCGGGAGCCGGAGCGTGAAGCTGGAGCCGGAGCTGGCGGCCCGCGCCCTTCATGCCGCCCGCAGCCCGCCGCACGTACTCCGCGCCCGCCTGGCTTTGGCGCCCCCCACCTGCGGGCCTTGGCCCGCCCTCCTCCCCAGCCCCTGAGCGCCTGGAGAGGTCGCCACGACCCAATCCCCGCGCTGGGGCTGTAGGGAGAGCGTCCCTGGAATCTGACGGATTTTCTTGTCTGCGCTCATGCCCATTGCCTGGGGGACCCTGCTGGGTACACGGGCCCCTTCTTCCGAGCACTACCACAGGGAGGCTGTTACAGGAGGCTGGGGTCACCCCGGTTAGGAACTGGGTATCAGGAGAGGAGGCAAACCAGTGGAGAAGACCCTGAGGAAGACTAGAGACCTGGGGCCCACCCCCTGGAGACCAAGATTGGGAGGCCCATTCCCAGGACCGAGCTCCCAGAGGGATTCAGAGAGTCCCAGGCTCTGGTTTAGGCAGTCCTGGTGGCATGTGCATGGGTGATGGATTCATGAGAAGGGGACCCATCAAAGGCTGGGGGGGCCGGTAACAACCTGGGGCACACTGGGTTGCCCAAACCCTTCTTTATGCCATGGGCCAGAAAGAGTGGACACCTGGTTGAGCCAATCCAGTCTAGAAGGCAATAAGGACAGAGATGCAGTAAACCTCAGCCTGAGCGGGAGGAGGCCCTGGCGGCCAGGCAAGTTCCCACGCCTGCTCTGTGAACCTTCCTCTCATGAATGAGGGGAAACACGGTCTGAGAATCTCATCAGGGAGCAAGCCCAGAGCGGGAGGTGCCCAGCCTCCGCCCGGCCCCAGTGTGGATATTCCCTATGGCACACGGGCCAGGCAGGCGGCCCAGACCTGGGGAAAGCAAGAGCACGCACACGGAAATACACATAAAACATGGGTGAGCCACTGTTCCTGCCTGCCTCAGCCACCGGCCCGAGCTCGGCTAAAACCACACAGAAACCCTCCTGCATCTGCTACATCCACAGAAGCTTCCTTCCATCTCCCCGTTCTCAGGAGCTTGTCCCATGGATCATCCCTTTTCTCTCCTGAAGGCTCAACCATCCGCTCTCAACTTGATCTTTCCCATTGGCCTATAAATGTGTTCAAGTTTCCGCTATGGGAACAAAACCCTCATTCGACCCCACTGAGTATCTCTGTTCTCAACCACAGCAAAATTCCTTGAAAGAGCTGTCTCCTCATCCTCACGTCTCTCCCACTCTTCAGGCCCTAAAAGAGCTGTCCCTCCCACTCTTCAGGCCCTGCCGTCAGCCTTCTAGCTCCCTAACAGCACCAAACCAGGTCTCGATAAACTATAGCCTCCAATCTCTAAATTCAACGGCTGTTCTTCAGACCTCATCTGCCAGGGCCCCGAGCAGTGTTTGACACCCAACGATGGCCACTGCCCCCCTGGAACACTGATTTCCCTTGGTTTCCCCTCATCCTCTCTGGCCACCTCTGCTCAAGCTTCTTCAGCGTCCTCTCCCTATTAGTAAAGTTTGGGTGTTCCTCAAAGCTCAAGTCTAGGCTTTCCATTTCCCTCTTCTCTTTACACACAGGTGACACAAATTTCTCTCTTTACCCTTATCCTTACTGCTGAACCCCAAATTCATATAACTCATTGTTCAGTGTACATCCCCACTTGAGTGTCCACAGCACCTCAATGGCAACATGTCCAACACAGAGTTCTTGTTCTCCCTGACATCTCCCACCTCCACACATACTGTCTTCACTGCTGTACTGAAGGAAGTACTTCCCATCAGTTACCTAACCAGAAGCCTAGGAGTCATACTTGGCAGCTCCCTCTCCCTCATCTCCAGACTCTTCACCTTTATCCCAAGTCTGTTCAATTTTACCCCTAAATCTCCCTCTAATCCACCCACTTCTCTCCATCTTTTTCACATGAGTGATGGCAACACTTTCCTAACTGGCTGCTCCTCCATTTTTGTTCCCTCTCATCTCTCCTTCACTACAACCATGATGATCTTAAAATGCAGATCTGAGCCCATTACTTGCGGATGGGAAATTGCACTGATCTTGAGAAAC